AGTGATTGTGGTACCTCGTCAAAACTGCTCCTACCACCCCTCCAGCACATTGTCACTATGGCGTCTTCCAGTTTCCCCAGAAGAATGTGTTTGGGAGTCCCGCAGGGAAGTATCGGTTTAACTATGGTTGTTCTCCGGTCCAAGCAACAACCTCATTATATATATATATATACTTATACACATACTACAACCAATTAACTTTAACAAAACAAATTATCTGATAAATATAGCCTTTATCTCAAAAAGAAATGATCAGTTTGGGTATGTGCCAAAATAGGGAAGCCCACCCCAAAGATCCCCTGAACAAATTGGGGTGGGGGGTTGTGGCTGGAGCGGCAATTCCGTGTTATAAAGAAAACAAAATGGAGTCACTACAAAAATGAGGCTACAACTCAGTTGCCCAAAGGACCCAGAAGGAAAAGGTGAGCCGATAAATTGTGGGGCCATGATTAAATATGGACCAAACCGGGGAAACCAAAAGGTCAGATCCGGTCGATTCATCTTGGACTGAGCCAAAATGAGTCTAAACTAGTGGAATCCATTTCTAACCAAACCGATCTAAAACAGGGACACCCCTCTCTGGTTCTTTGGGGAAAAGACATTTGCTAAAATGGAACCCTTGTAAATAGAAGCATGGACTAAAAGATGTGGTGCCCTGGCTTCATTTTGTCCAAACGGTTTAAAGGTCAATTCGCTTAGAAAAAGCACCTGAACAGGACACCTCGCCGGGTTTTTTTGGAGAAAAGACATCTACGAATGGCTGAAGCCCCCGGCGCCTCCTCTGGGCAAACGTGCAGCAGCTGCCAGGTGTTGGGTTTGGCGCGCAGGCGCTTGGTCCAGAGCTCGAACTCTTGGCCGATGCCCTCCTGCGGCATCGACGGCTCCCTCCATGGCGCGCGCGCGGCGCGTGTAGTTTGAGTTTGAGTGGCTTGGTTCTTGGCTGGAATTAGGACGCCAGCAAATATATCTATATATATGTATGTATGTATGTGTATATATATATATATATATTTGCCTGGTTAGTGGAAAACAAAAGGGAACCCCAAAAAAGCAAACTTGAGGCCCAGGGAGGTGAACGAAAGCTAGCTGCAGCACATGCTGTTTTCACACGCCAGCAGCTCGCAGGCTAAGAGGCGATCTTGTGGCGCGCGCCTCACGTTTCGGCCCAGCCGAAAAGCGAGAAGGGAGAGCTCTGTTGCTTTTTGGCTAAACGGTTTCGTGTGTGTGTTTTGTATATTAACATGTAGAAATATGTATGGTTGACTTTCTTGTTCTTTGGGTATGTGTCAAAATCGGGATTCGGAAGGCAAAAATTGCGCCTTCTTTCCTTTTGGCCTCTCTCCAAAGACTCGAAAATCAACACGCCCATCGTCTGAACACGGCTCTTGTTTTTGGCCTGAGAGCCCCCCAACAGCGGCCATCAGCTTGCATCAGCAAAAACAAGAAGGTGTCGAGGATCAAGTGAACTTTGCGTGAATAGGGATCCAGAGACGAAGTCTTGATGAAGTTGATGAGTGCAACAAGGACCATGCCAAAAAAACCAATCAGCGAAATGGGTCTTTTGAGGGCATCCTGTTTAGGTTAGTTCAGAAAATGAAGTCGGAAAACCAAAATACTAGTTGTTTTGGGGGGTGCCCTATTCAGCGAATTGACTGGCAGTCTGATCATGTCTTCCAGTCTAACACTGTGTCTTCCGATCGGCCATGAAGTGCAATAGCGCACTCAAGTGTCAGAAGGATGCGGCACATGTGATATGTGGCAGAATGTTGCATCAGCGCCGTCTCGGGCCGCCTCTGCGCGTGAGGCTGCTAGCTTTACGTCCACTGGATGCATAGCTGTACAAAGGTTTTCCAGATTCACAGCTGCCTTCTGGAGAGACAACCTCAGGCGAGAAAGGGGACCCCACACATGTCCTTTGGAAGGTCGAGGTTTGGCCGCAGGCATGTCCGAGGCATGTAGGTCTTGGCAAGCTCGCTGCTGGAGTGTGGCTATGCCAGATCCAGAGGCGGCCGCGCACCGTGCTCGCCAGCCACTCCCAAACTTGCCCTGCATGGATGTCACGTAGGTGTCGTAGCAGAGACTGCATTTCAATCTTCGGTGGGTGGCTTTTGCAATATCAGACATGCAGCTCTGGTAAACGTTCCAGCTGAGCGGCTCTGTCGCATGGCGCATGAGAGCTGCGTGCGCAGCTTGAAAATTTGTCGCCGCAGGCGCAGCGGCTTCGGTCATGTTGGCTGCGGAGCCGCTGTCTTAGACACGGGTCGGTCGTGCAGGGCCTTGGCAATCTAGGATCCGGGCTTAGCGCCTACAACCCGCCAGAATCATCATGAAACAAGAAATATGAGGAAGAGATTTTGTTGCCCAACAATGTTGAAAGCAGAACTGCTCAGGAAACGGGTGCTTCTGCTAAAACCCGGCGCTAACTGCTTTGAGCTCAAAGGTAATGGCTGCGGGCTGCGCGGTCTTGGTGGCGATGCGAGCGGAACTGGCAAAACACATGGGCATCTTGTATCGGCTGGCACAGAGTGCAAGTGAAGGTCATTTTTTTGGGCAGCCACGAGGCCACGGCCATTCGGAGCTCCTCGCCAGATGCCTGCCGAGCAAAACAACGTGGGGCGGACTCGAGTCGGCTCACGCACCTGGTCAGGAAAAAAACAGTGCACAACAGACACGCGCAGACATCTGGCTCTCAAGAGACCCGGAGCAAGCATACATGCAAGTTTGAGACAATCTCAGGTTGCAAGAAGAAAGCAATGCAAAGGCTGTCTTTGTAAGAAAGTACGGATTTGGTTGCTGCTGATCCGCTGCCCCCTCGGAAATTCAACTGTGGTCATGTTGCGTCTTGTCCTGAAACAACATGACTGCAAGGATTAGAATTGTAGCTTGTTCCAGGAGCATGTGACGAGCAGAGAGTGTCGACTGCTCTCATTGGCAGAGCATCTTTGTCTGCTCTGGTGATGGCAGTAGCCGGTTGCACAAGCAGCAGCCCAGAGGCCTGGTACCCGCACTGCTGGCGTCGCAGGTCTGAGAGCAAGGGCTATGCGCGCACTGGTGGCGCGCAAAGGAATCAAGGCAAGGGACGTGCCTGGCGCGCGCTGCTGGCGGCACAGGTCTCAAATCAAGGCTCTTGCGCGCGCTGCTGGCGTGCATTGAAGCCAGGGCACACTGCATGTGAAGGTCACGCTGCGGCACTCTTGAAGGTTCGCGAGAGATGCTCCAGAGTCTTCTGCGGGAGTGTAGTAGCAAACTTGCAGCTGAAGTAAGTATTGGAGACTAGGTCGGCGAGCCCCTGGAGCAGCGTGAGGTCAGCCTCATTCTCCATATGCAGTGGCGGTGTGAAGCGGTAGTATCCACCTTGCATGCTGGCCCCGTCGACTTGCAACTGCGCGCAAGCCTCTCTCAAAGGCCATGTGTTACCACCAAGTAGCAGGCGGAACTTGTCGCCGGACTCAGGCACACTCTCTGCATGCACGGTCAAGTGCTGGGAAGCTGGTCCGGGGAGTTCCTTCAAGGAGACCTTGGGGACGGTCGCTTGCATGGCCACCTCCCACCCTGGCACCGCGTCCGGCGTGAAGTCGGCGATGTTGACAAGCCACATGTGCACCGGCAGCTTTCCAGGCATGCCCTCGCGAGTTCTCCTCCAAGAAGTAAAGGCTGCGACGTGCTGAAGCGCCGCCTGAAGACCGTCTCGAGCTCCACCGGCGAAGAGAGCAATTCTCCATGTAGGACCTTTGCCGAAGGCCCAGAGGAGCTGTGCGTACGATGCCTGGGCGCGACGAGCTGCGGCAAAAATAAAAGAAAGCAGAACCAAGAACATCAAAAAAAGGTCCTGAGATCGGTGTTTACTTTTTACCCGCGTTTGGGACTTGGTTTGATTGACCTCTGCAGGTGGCAGAGATTTTTGCCCGGCGACCCGAGACCTAGCAGTTGTGTGTATGGGACTGCTGTCTAGGCGCCAAGTCTGGAACAGTACGCGGCGCGTCCTCATCAGACATGGTGTCGGCGGCCGCGTGCAAGTACAGCTGTAAGTGTTCTTTCATCTTGAACAGCACACTGGGAACTTGGCGACTTCCTTTCATCTGCAGGTCCATGGCAAAGCACGCTTGCTGTGGCTCGAAGTGTTCCGAGACCAGGCTCCCATCTGGAGCATACTGCCACACTGTAATCTCCAGCGCATTTCCAGGCGCCGAGGAGGAGGTACCTTGTGCAGCTGACCGGCGTCTTGGTGTCAAGAAGGGCTTCGGAGCAGGAGTCACCGGCGAGGAGGGGGGCTCAGGCTTAGCCGCGGCAGCCACTGGCGGTGAACCTGCATCAGGCTTGGGCGCGGCAGGCACTGTCTCCGAGCTTGGGGCCGGCTCAACGCGTGGCCTCTTTGCGACGGGCGTTGAGGCGGGGGCGGGCATGACGGGCGATGTCGCAAAGGGGGCAGGCGCAAGGAACTGAAATGGCAGCGTTGTCACGTGTTGCAACGGGACGTATGGGTGGGAAAGGGGTGGACCGCTGCCCAAGTCTTAAGCGGCCACTAAAGAAGCAGCGGCAGAGTGTTCCTGATGGATCTCCTGACGGCCCCCCCAGATCCAGCCTCCTTCCGCTTCCTTTTGCAGCGCGCAGTTTTCGGCTTTGGCTCCTTTGGCAAAAACAAAAGGAGAATTCCCAGGGATCAGCGGCCAAGCTAAAAAGAATCAGCTTGCAGCTTCTTGGGACTCAATGAGTTAATGTTCTGCTTCTGTCAACTCCAGCTTCACCTCGGGTAGCGTGCGGATGCCTTGTTCGATGATCTCTACGCACTGTGAAGAGCCGACACCCATGAGATGCCCAGTGAGTCTTTGTCTCAAAGGGGGGGAGAAAGCCAGGGTGGGGTTTCCTTTGGTTATCCCTTTCAAAACGGCCCTTCAGGGGTCCCAAGGGTTGCCAGCTTTGAGCTAGAGGGAACAAGTAATCACCACACCCAGGCCAAGGGATACGCGCAGGTGTCCCAAGCAGCGAGCCCTAACTCCATTGGCCAGTCCTTCAGAGAAAGGCTCGCAAAATCGGAAGCTTGCTTTTTCGTTGGCTTAAAAAGGAAAGCAGAAGGGTAACCACTTTCCCAAAGAAGTTTCCCATTTCGCGAAAACTTCGCTAATGACTCCACGACCAGAATTGCTGGAGAAGACTAATTCTTGTGATTGCTCTCCATGACATCTGCTCACAAAAGATGACCGCGCCACAAAAAGGCAACCACAAAAACTTGCACCCTCTGCTTCCATTGGCTCTCAGCTCCCTTTGGGCAACCCGGCGCTGACATTCACACCCAGTCATCAGAGGACCTGCTGGCTACGTCGCTGAGCAAATCAAACCAGCCTCTCTGATCAGCTTCTTTCTCCGAACCAGCCGCACATTCCTTCGGCAGGATTCTTTGTTTCCGCACCTGGAACCCATTGGCACCTCCTGTTTGGTGGTGTGACCCTTGATTTTGAGGGTTCCTCCTTCAAGAAGAAAGTGCAGATCTTTACAAACGAGGAACTTTGCGAGTCACTGAGTCACAAAAAAACCAAAGCACCGCCCGTACGAGCTGTTTTGGGAATTCCGCGAACATTCCCCGGGCGTTTTGTGGCCTTCAGCAGCTCCCTCCTCCGCTGCAGCTTCCTATGTGCCTTGATCTGCTCCAAGGCGCCCACTGTCGCCACAATCAAGAGTGTCCTGTTGCCATCGGTCAACAACCCACAACAAAGCCGATCTGCAGGCCCGTGTCCAGATTGCAACAGCAACGGGCGAAAATGCATTCGACCCGAACTCCGACACCCCCAAGTTAACCGGAACATACCCTACATTCGCTGCAGCATGTTCAACGCACGTCTGGCGTGCTTCCACATCAAGGAGGATTCAC